CCACAGCAGCGACCAAGTGCAAAAACTGTAAGAATGTCCCTCAAATCAGAACAAGGGGAATTTGGACTTTCCCCAGAGGGTCAGTGACTTCTTGTGGGCAATTCAGAATTGTCCCTTGGCCTCTTCCCATCCTCTGCTCCCACTGTGGCCACATCCCTTGCTCTACATGGGTTAAAGGGATGCACATCGCAGTGTTAACTGAGCTTCCACTCCAAATCCAGCATTTACAGGCATTACTCCAGCTAATCTTCAAACAATCCTGGGAGGTTTCCTCCTCATCACTATCTCACCGATGAGAAAAACTATGGCTTAGAGCAGCAGGACCCAACCTTCTTGGCATCAGGGACTGGTTTCGCGGAAGACAATTTTTCCACGGACTGGGGGCATAGGGCATGGTTGTGGGATGATTAAAGTGCACTGCATTTATTGTGCAGTCAAACCTCTCTACTAATGATAATCTGTATTCACAGCACTAGCATCACTGTTTCAGCTCCACCTCAGATCAACAGGCATTAGATTCTCATGAGGAGTGTGCAACCTAGATCCCTTGCATGCGCAATTTACAGTAGGATTTGCGCTCCTATGAGAATCTAATGTCACTGCTGATCTGGCAGGATGCACAGCTTATGTGGTAATGCAAGTGATGGGGAGCAGCTGTGAATACAGATGAAGCTTCGCTCACATGCCTCCTGTTGTGTGGCCCACTTCCAAACGGGCCACAGACCGGTAGTGGTCCACAGCTCGGGGGTTGGGGACCACAGGCTTAGAGAAATTAAGCGATTTCACCGTCCCAAAGCCAAGGCTCTGAGGAGGACCTTCTGTTCTAAGTCTCACTCAAGCTGCCTTCCCTGCCGCCAACACACAGAGCCTTCATCTGCAGTGCTTGCTCCTAGGCCCCCTTCTGACTCCTCCTTCCTCTGCCCCAAGCCCAAGGGGTATCTCTGCACACTCAGGCTCAGAGGGTAAGTGCCAGGGCTCAGGCAGTCTCTGTACCCCATTATGCATGTCAAGGCCTTCCTGCTGAGAATCTCTCACTGCAGCTCACTTCAAGATACTAAGATGTGGGTGTGGAAAGGGTTCCCTTTGACCTATGGCTTCAGGGCCAAAGCCTTTGACATCACTATCATCTCCTGGTAGGTTGTTGCAGTACTCAGTCTGTTTTACACTACATAAGAATTTTCCAGCTATGAACTGGTAGATAATGTAAAGACATGCAAGACACAGGCTGGGCAAAGTGGCACACATCTGTAATCCCAACACTTTGGGAGGCTGAGGCAGGATTGCTGTCGTCAGGAGTTTGAGACCAGCCTAAGCAAGTGCAAGACCCTGTCTCTACTATAAATAGAAACATTAGCCAGGTGTGGTAAGGCACTCCTGTGGTCCCAGCTACTCCAGAGGCTAAGGCAAGGGGATCCCTTGAGCCCAGGAGTTTGAGGTTGCAGTGAGCTATGATGATGCCACGACACTCCAGCCCAGGCGACAGAGTGAGACCCTATCTCAAAAAAAAAAAAAAAAAAAAAAGACATACAGGACACATATGCTTCACAGACATTACACTGGTTCTAAATAGGTCTAGCTCCACAGATCTTATATCTCTGTGTGTGTCACTGAGGAATTAAAAAGCCAAAAAAGAAATTATAATTATCTATTACATGTCAGGCACCAAGCTGGACACTTGGGAAATACCTAAGTTATTTAATGCATGGTCCCTACATTCAAAGAGCTCACAGAAAGGTGCAGAGGAAACAAAGACTTAAGATAGTGCACGTTCCAGCCAAATGCCGCAGACTAGAGGAACCAGGAACTGGAGCAGAGGAGACAGCGATCAGCAGCGGGAGGCAGAGCAAACTGGAGCAGAGGAGACAGTGATCAGAGCGGGAGGGGAGCTGGACGCTGAGACGCAGAGAGGAGTTTAGAGGAAAGGGGAGGCCATGGGCAGCACAAGCAAGAGGAACAGCAGGAATAGGACATGCACGTACTCATTCAGTGTTTACTCAACACCTTTTCTCTAGTTTCTTGGTCCTTGCCATGAAACTCTTTCATGAGAATTCCCTCCAAAAGGTCTCACTCACAACACTGGCCCTGCAAGGTGCAGCTTGAAAAAAAAAAAAAATCTGTGCCCAATAGGCCTGAGAATGCCATACAGCACACCCGTCTCCGGAGACCAAGCTATGTCTATTGGCAGACTAAAGGCTCTGAGAACTCCTGAAGTAAAGAAACCTTTTCGATGTTGTTTAACCCAGAATTTCTCAAATTTACTTGACCACCAGAGCCCTTTTTTACACTTGACACCTATTTCCATCCTGAGAAACTACTGTGCAAAGGCACATACCTTGGGAGACACTGCCTTGTACTGGGGCCCTGTAGCTAGGCAGGAAAGGATGGGAATGTTGGGTGTTTACTCCCAGAAATGCCCATGGGAGTAAACTCTTGCTGGACGAGGTGGTGGCAGTGACAATGGAAAAGCAGCCTGCTGTCACAAGAGTCAACAGAGGCTGGCACAAGATCATGAGGAACCAGTCAGTGAAGCCACTCACTGGTCAGCTAACCTCAAGGCAGACAGTATTACTACAGCAACAAACCAATGACACATGAGGCACTGACAAGTCTGTAGGATGAACCTACCCAAAGAATATATCAGCATGCTCCTGGCATTTCACATTTCTATTGTTCAAAAACTCTTACTTGAGGGGAAGTCTCATATGCCAGATTATAATCTATATTGTCTGTAAAGCAGACCTCAGCCTTCTCTTTTCTTTTCAAATTTAGGATTATGGTTCATGAAGACACGCTCCCAGTCACCCAGCGCTTACAATTCACAGGACATGTAGACACCTGCCCTCCCCAGTTCCAGGGAAGGCAAGATTTCAAGAGGCTCCCCGGGGCGGCAGAGTCTGAGGGGAAACCCAGGCTTCCATCTTTCCATATTCCTTCCTCTCCACTTGTGGAATCCAAATAATTCTAGCTTTCTGGGACAGCCCTCATCTCAGATATCCTATTATCTTTCCCAAACCATCAAAACATCCCAGAAATCATGATTTGTGATCCAACTCATCTTTCCATCCTGGACGAGGGCACAAAGATCTTTTTGTTTTGTTTGGCTCAAATTCCTTTGGGTAAACAGACAATAGATCACGAGATTTTCAGAAAACTTTCAACGATTATTTGGAAAATCTATATATGGCAATAGAATATGCTAAATAGTTCTTGTCCATCCATATCAAAACAAATATACATGACTAGAACAGGAAATGTTCTTTCAGGGTGAAAGAAAACCTTCTTAAGGCAATTTAGCATAGAATCGCTGTCACTAAAATTACAAGTATGTAATATGGTGAACTTAGCAACGGCATCCTCCAATGGACAGAAATACACACATCCTCTAAAATGGCAAACAAACACAACAAATCATTTATTTTTGGCTTTGAGCTCTATTTCTCTACTTACAATACAGCTCAGTTTGCAGCCTAGGAGAAACAATTTCTCCCCGATAATAAAACCATATTTGGACAGCCATGCTATTGCGTTCCTCCCACACCACCTCCTTCCTGCCTGTGCCGGGAATAGCCTCCAAGTGAGGACTCCTCTTTCTGATCCCTCCAAACTATCAGCCCAAGCAAGGAGGCTGTCTCTGAAATTTGTAGGCATTCAAGAAGCTTTAGCTATATTATTACATTCAGTTATTCAGCTATAACTGTTATGCATGTGCCAGAAAGAGCATGGGAAAGAGAGGGTCTAATACCGCTCTCACCCAGGGGTGGTTCTGCCTTCCCCAGGGAACACTGGGCAATGTCTGGAGATGTTTCTGGGTGGCACAGCTTGAGGAATGGGTGCTACTGGCATCTTGTCGTACAGGCCAAAGATGCTGCTGACAGTCTGAGAGTGCACAGGACAGCCCCCCCATAGCACAGGATTACCTGCTCCAAAATGTCAATAGAGCCAAGGCAAGTAACCCTGCATTACATTAACAAGGCACACAAGGAAAATGATATATGAGTGCTGTCAATAGACCTGAATGATAATTGCAAAAAGTAACTGTGTGATAGGCACTATGGATGCCCATACAGTAAGATAATCAGGACACCCAGCTGATTGCCTACTCTGAAGACTGTTGAGCGCAAGCAGCATCAGCTAGCATTCAAATCTGTTAATCAATGTGGGTAAGTAGGAATGAACTGGATTAAAGCCATAACAATAGGCCATCATTCAAATATATTGTTTTGTTATCTGAGAGCACAAAATAGTGAAGTAGAACTGTTACTGTCTCTCTCTTTTTAAAAATGGAAACAGCAAATACTTAAACTATAAAAATACACAGAAGGTACTAGTGGGGGAACTAAATCAAATGTGAACACTGAGGAACAGCTCAGAAACTGGAATGATTTCACACGCCCAAGTCCGGCCATGTTAATTCCTTGGGAGTTTATTATGACATAAAGTCAGTATAGAAATGGACACTGCTAGACAGCCGCCAAGAGGTTGTACTTCCAATAATGGAATACCACAAGGTTCTCGGGAACCTGTATTCATTCTTTCAGTGAGCTACATCACAAGATTTATCTACACCAACAAAATTTAAAGTAATCATAAAATAGTGGATTTCAAGTGATATAGCAGTATTTGAGCAAGTGGTTCCTGAAATCAGATATAAACTAGCTTTTGGCACCAGAAGCAAAGAGAGCCAACTTTACTATCATTTAATTGTTAGCTTGCAGAGATCCCAAAAGGTGTTGCAGGTCACAGAAAGAGAAAATAACTATTAACTCAAGTGGGAAGCATCTTTATGCAATGCAACAAGGAAACGGAGGTGCGCAAATGTCAAAAAGCAAGGATGTTAAAAATGTAAAATGCTTCTAACTTTATAGTAAATTTAAAAATTATGAAAACCAAATCAAAGGCCATTCCAAGTCATTCACCTCAGACCTGGAGGCTGGTTATTATTTCACATGTTCTACTGCAGAATTAATAAAGTTTAATAAGTAGGAAAAAAAAAAACTAACCTTAAGGTTATCAAAGGTTCTGACAGTCTGCGCCAGGTCACTGGCACTCCCTGACGATGCTGTCCCCTGTCCCCTAGGGCCTGAGGTCACCTGTGAGCCGTCAATGACCTCAAAGCCAGAAAGCAAGGCCTCTGCACAGCTGCAGCGAGACTCCTTGGCTCTCTGACCCGATATCAGGTATGTCTTCAAACCTACGATGGATAAAAATTACAATCAGCACAGAGTGAAACCACCGTTTGTTGACACACAGCTCGATCTTGCCCTCTAAGAAGAACACACTCTGGAAAGTTGAGAGTAGAGTGACAATGTGAGTATCTCATATTTTACAACTGACTTCCATGACAGTTGTAGCCTCAGGGAGACCGTTTGTCTCCAAGACACACCGTTTACTCACATTATGTTTTCTTTGAATAATGGCTGCACGTTTTACCTTCAGGGCTAGAATAAGCATTAAAAACTTCATCTGTGGAAAAGCCACGGGACCTCTCGGTAAAGGCAGCAGAGCAGACTGATGGTGAACTCTACATACTGCTTGGGTTTATTTTGACTGTAAACGCCAGTCCCTGACATTTATAACGGTCAGTCTAGATGTAAGGGTGACCTCATCTTACTTGTGTCAGAGACTGCAAAACTACCATGAAAAGTAAGACCACATCATAGATCAACAGAGGTAATTAAAACCTCTGTTGATGCAGATTTGTGGAGTGTCCATTTTCTATTGGATCCGGACATTCATCCCAGGAACACTCAGCTTCTGTTAAGCTGAGGTCCACGTGCATCTTATTCTCTCACAAAATCTCCATTTAGAAAAAAAGTTGGTCAAATGGACAATTAACCTGTATCTTTATGATTCTCACTAAAGGTTGAAATGACATACTGATACACGCTACACCATTTAGCAGCTGTACCAGGCAGGTGGGTCCCTGCTCTGGGTATTCAGAACTATCTACTGGGTATTCAGAACTAACTACTAAGGAGCAGTTTTTCCAGGAAGAACTCAAGGAATTCTTGAAAAAGAAGCAAACTTCATTTAAAGAAAGCCATCGTTAGTCTTCATTGGAATTTAACCAGATAGCAAACATATCAAGGGAATGATACTGTAATTTATTCAACGAACATTTATTTCAGGCCTGATATATGCTATACACCGAGAATAAATCATGAACAAAACAGGGTCCCTATCTTTCAGTCTATTCTCCAGCAGAAGGTCATCATGAAAGGTGGGAAGGTGCAGCATGGAAAGATCCAATCAAGAGGTGGTGTTAGGTTTATACCAGATTCCAGTGCAGTTTCTTACACTGGGTACACATTTAGTAAGTGCTTTAATATTAGTCAAATGACCTTAATCTTTCATTTCCCTCTCTCCTCATAAAAATACTATGTGGCATATCTTTTTAAATCAACTGTTGTGAGAATTTGGCAAGAGTCCTGGAGACACCTAAGGACATCCCAGAGTATAGCCAAGTCACAGCTGCAAATCAAAAGACTTAGATATTTTTAGATGTCAACTGACCCCAAAGGATATCTTTAAACGCTCACTCTGACTTAGGTCCTGAATTTCTCTGCATTTCTTTTTCCTCCAACAAAAACTCACATCCCAATTTAGGTATAGGATCAATCTGAGTTTTAACTAATTATATGTACAAACTTGAAATGGAAATGTGAACTGGAATATGATGTAAGAGCAAAAGTACCTTTATATTAATTTCTTAGATCGTGGTGACGCTAGACTAATTCTGTCATTTCACTTTGGGGGAGTCAAAAAAAGGCAATCTATGTGGAATGAACACAGAACAGTGCTGCTTCTGGCCCATCTGGGGTCTCTGATCTGGCAGGGCTTATTCCCAGCCTCATCAAAGTACACAAGAAGGCCTATCCCAGGGGCTGCTCTAAGGGTCTCCTCCCCATGACTACTAACTGTGGTGTGTGAGTTCCAGGCAGCAAGGTAGTGACAGGGGCCTGAGAATGCCTTTGCAGCTGCAGAGGGCCATTCTAGGGACCAGAGGCAAGAGAAAGGACATTTTCTTACCTGGAAGGTGAAGAGCTACTGAAGGGAAGGGTTCTCTACCAGGTCTGTGGCTGGCCGTGACCACAAAGTAATGATTCCTGTGAGCTCCTGGCAGCCCAGGTGCCCCTGCCAGAGGCTGCTGCCCCCCGTAAATAAGGGCTTCCCTGAGAGCACGAGCCAGACTGCCTCTCAAACCAAGGAATTGTCCTTTATTGGGGTAACTGTTTATCTGCTCCCCTTGTGGCTGCAGTACTGCAAGAGAAGTAAAGCTGGCCTTTCCCAGAGGCATGTGACAACTGAAGCAGAGAGAAGGCTGAGCACAGAGAACTGAAGAGCCATGAGCCTCAGACGTTGACCACCACAGCCCTTAGTAGCAAGTGCAGAGTAGCAGCTACAGCCTCTGCAGTCATGAGCCCAAGGAGGTGGAGTGAACGTGCCAGCCATAATCAATCAAGCCTAGTGTGAAGCCTGTCACCTGTCTAGACAACACACAGGTGTGACTATGTCAGGCATGCCAAGTCAAAGGATGGGCTACTCCAGGATGCACAGAACAGAGGTACCTCCTAAAGATGCAGGAAAGAAGGTGCTATGTGTGACAGCGTCCCCTCCACAATTCAGGTACTGCCGATGTAAAGTGGTGGGGCCTTTAAGAGGTAACAAGGCCGGGAGGGAGCCTTCCTTGTGAGTGGGATCAGGTGCCTGCACAAAGGTCTCTGGCTCGCTCTCCTGTTCTTCTGCCATGTGAGAACACTGCCTTCTTCCTTCTGCAGCCCTCACCAGACAACAGAACCTGGCAGTGCCTTGATCTTGGACTTCCCAGCCTTCAGAACTATGAGAAGATAAATCTCTTTTTTAGAAACTACCCAGTCTGTGTGAGTCTGTTACAGTAGCACAAATGGACCAAGACAGAAAGCCACCTGGATAAAGTGTCCTCCAAGCTGAGGAGATGAAGTGAGGTCAGCCCAGTGACAGCACACAGGGCCAAGGGCGGGTGGCCAGCACTGGGCAGTGGGCATCACAGGAACAGTCAGAGAAAGACCCTCCTAAAAAGAGCCTTTGGCAGACATGGCTGAGGGACTGCGCTGAGCTCAGTGAAGCTGAAACAAAGAATGCGCAGCAGAATAGCCAGAGGTGAGCAGTAGCCCACCTGTGCAGGTGGCCCTCCCCCAGGAACCTTCATCCTGGCAAACTGGGGGAGAAAGAGCAAATGCCAGCCACAGCAGGTTGAGGGGCAGTAAGTCAGGAAATAATGGTGGAAATCTGGAGCCTATATTCCCGAAATTTGGTGGCAATGGCAATGGCAATGCTTCTGTCACAGGCAGTCGAGTGTGATGGGCGAGGGCCTGGCTTCCGAGCGCAACCCTCGGAGTCAGATCTGGGCTCCACCATCTCCGACATGTGACCTAAGTAAGCCGCCTCATCTCTCTGCATCTCAGTTTCCTCATCCCAGAGGGCTGGCGTGAGCCTGTACAACAGTGCCCGGCACACAGAAAACACACAGTAATATTAGCTATTATTATCACCGGAAATCTTTTTCATGCTCCTTCCATGTGCAAAAGCATTTGCAGAACTGTTAAATCAACAATTGTTCCCAATTTTTGTTTTTAACTTGAATTTTTCTTCGGAAGCTCTGAGTGACCAACTTGTATTGGGAACACAATACCACTGGTGCTACAAAGGTCAAACATACCTGTGTCCACAGCAAGCACAATCAGCTAATAAACGAAGTATCTTTTTATTTATGCTCTAATATGGAAAGCTAACTTTAAAGTGAAACCTTCTGCCCAAACTGGAGGGACATGAGCATGAGAAAGTGCAGCAAAGCCCACTGCCCGACAGGAAATCCCCTGAGAGACTTAGCAGGTCAGGCTTCTAAGCTCAAGGCCTGTCAAAGTCTGAAGTCAAGAGAGTTTGTAAGAGGAAGGATTTAATAAATAACCACACATGGACCCCAGGGTCCAAGTTCATTAGAATGGCTCTTTTGGAGCAGAAGGTCAAAATAAGGCAGCTCAATGATTTAAGTACAGTATAAATAGGAGAATAGTTAAGATTTCTTATTTTCTTTCCTGGTAATTGATTTTAAACCTCACTGACACTGATGCCTTTTCTCATCTTCATTTTATAAAGGCTACAGAGAGGGGGAGGCATTTCCTAATGTGCTCTTGTCTGATGGAAGAATTTGTCTACGGCTGCCTATGTCAAGGTTACCATGGTGAAGGTTCTTAAGTATTCTTAAGTATAATATATCACCAATTCTTTGAGAACAAAAACTGTGCCTTATACACAGTGGTGATCAGTGCTGGTGAACTGAGCATAATATGAGTGAGTGACAAGGTTCATTTTGGAAAAGAAAGATGATTCTGGCCTCATTTGTCTTCTTGGTCTTTTTCTTTGGGACTCTTGCTCTGGACAGAGATATCTTCTATCAACAGAATCAAGGACCTTACTGTGAACCCAACAGAAAGAGAAGAATAAAATAAAATAAATAAATAAATAATTTTTTCCCCCAGAGAGACTTGAAAAAAAAAAGCGAAGAATAACCAGAAGGGAAAGAGTGTTTTCAGACTTGACTTTCGAGGTAACAGCATGACATAACAAACCCCCAGAAGCTTATTATCTCTTCTTCAAACAATAAACACAAGAGGTGACGGGCTTGAGCTGCACTTTGTAAACATTCTAAAAATGTCTTTTCACTTGGCGTTGTATTTTTACTCATAGCTATGTCTAAAATGGCCAACAATGGCATGAGAATTAAACTAAAATGTAATCAGACAATAAAGATTAAAGCACTTAACCAGAGCCTACAAAGTTATAGGTATGATATTAATATTTTATAATTATCTATTACTTTTGCTTAAGATGAATAAAAGTTTTGGTTAAAAATTTTTTTTCACTTGTTAACATTTAAACACTCTGGATGGCTCTGAGTCCTTCTCACTTTTGTGTAAAACAATCACGAGGACTGACTTGTTCTGGTTGTCCCAATATCTGATGATAAATCATAAATTCCTATCACAAATGGCTGCTGGTGAAACTTAACCTCTTCTTAAAAAATGAAGTCCCAAACAACAAAATGTAAGACAGATTTCTGCAACAAGGTGAAAGAAAGAAAAGGTGGGCACCATGCCTGTTTCTGTTTAAATTGGTTTTATTTTTTAGAGACAGAGTATCACTCTGTCACCT